TCATCATTAACCTTTTCTATTAGAGATTTCAAATCTTTATCTGAGGCCAACAAATTAGTGTCGTCAGCAAATATTACGCTTTTAAGAATATTGGAAACCTTAAACATATCATTTACATATAATATGAATAATGTCGGCCCAAGGACTGAACCCTGGGGCACACCGCATGATATACTTTGTAAATCAGAGTCAATATTGTTATATGATACAATTTGCTTTCGATCTTTTAGATATGATTTAAAAAGAGAAAGTTCAGACCCTTGAATTCCATAAAAATTAAATTTATCGAGAAGGATTTTATGATTAATGGTGTCAAAGGCTTTAGACAAGTCTAAAAAAAACCAAGCGAATATTCATTGTTCTCCAGCGCATGTCGTATGTTTTCAACAAAAGTTAAGATTGCCATAAAGGTAGAGACATTTTTCTGAAAGCCATACTGATGTATATATAATATTTCGTTTTCTGTGATAAAATTACAGAGCCTAAAGTTAATAAGTTTTTCTAGAAGTTTAGAAAAAACTGGCAAGACTGAAATTGGTCTATAGTTTGAGAAATTGTCTTTTTGACCTTTTTTGAAAATTGGTGTTACCTTGGCTATTTTGAGTTTATCCGGGAAAATTCCCTGTTGGAAGGATTTATTGAATATCAAAAGTAAAGGCTGTATAAGTTCATTTTTTGCATGTTTTACAATAATCGGTTTAATATTATCAAGAGATGCTGCCTTGTCTTTCAAAGTTTGTATTAATAATGACAATTCTGTTTCATCAACTGGTGTTAAGTGAAATCTATTTTCAAAATGTCCCATATTACTAATATATTCATTTGGTGTTCTGTTTGACTCTGGAATTTTAGAGCTTAATTTTAATCCAATTGAAGAAAAGAATGAGTTGAATTTATTGGCAATCAACTTTTTATCATTTACTGCAATACCATCGACCAGAAATTCGTTTTGAACCACTGTATGAAGTTTTTTTCTATTTAAAATGTCAGAGATAATATTCCAGGTTTGTTTAATATTTCCAGATGCAGTTTCAAATTGATTCCGATAGTGGTTTTTTTCTACAGCTCTCAAAATAGCTCTGAACCTTGCTTTATTTTTATAGTTTCTTTCATTTTCTTCACTAGGGGTCTTCATAAATTTACGATAAAGATTATTTTTTGCTTGGCTGATGTGATAATCCCATTTGTAATCCATGGCTTAGAAGTATCAACAAAAAGTTTCACTTTCTTTAATTTAAGAGGAAAAGATTCATTGTATATGTTTTGAAAAATATCTGAAAATATTTCAAAGCAATCATTTACATCATCTGTAGTTTGCAAAATATCCCAGTTTAAAACACTCAACTTTTGTTTAAAATTTCCAATACTCTGCTTATCAAAAATTCTATATGAAATGTCTTTGCTTGTGGACTTCCTCAATACAGTACTAGTTAATGCAAATACAGGAAAATGATCAGATATGTCCATAATTATTACATCACCATGCTTTATGTTATTTATATTAGTAAAAATATTATCAATTAGTGTAGCAGAGTGGGATGTTACTCTAGTAGGACGGTAAATAAGGGGATGGTGGTTAAATGAATAAAGCAAGTTCAAGAAGTCTTTAGTGGGGTCATGTAATTCATGCTTAAAAAGGTCAATGTTGAAATCCCCAGCCAAAACTGATAACTTCTTAGACTCGTCTACTTTAGACATGAAAGCCTTTAAGTTGATATTGAATTCATTTATGTCTATTTGTGGTGGTTTGTAAATGGCAGTAATTAAAATGTTTTTTGAAGAATTATTTAATATTTCTACTGATAGGGAATCACAATTAACATCATCAAATTTTAGATCTGATCTTGACTTGACATTAATGTTTTTTAAGGTAAAAATAGCTACACCACCACCTTGTTTGTCTTTCCTAGAACGATAAAAAGCATTGTAATTTGAAAATAGTGGATTGTATATACTTTCTGTACCATCTTGCAGCCATGTTTCAGATAAGACAATCACTTTCGGTAAATTTTTAGCCATTTGAGCAAGAAATAATCTAATATCATTTACTTTACTGGGAAGGCTACGAGTGTTGAAGTGAATTATAGAGAAATCATGATTTGCATTTGTATTTAATATTGATTCAAGTTGGTTTAATGTTCTATAATTGCAATTTAAAATCCCTTCATTCACATTGTCATTGAATAAAGTATTTGCTTCTTCAGCAATTGTTAAGTTTTCTAATGTAGGATTGAAGATTCTATTTTCAAACATTTCCATCAAATTTCCACGGGGGACAATTTCAAGAAATTGATTTTCATCAATTACATCAAAAAATGGCAATTCCTTCCATACACCAGCATTTGACTCAAGCATAAGAGGATATATACACAAAGTTCATCCACAACTCACCACCACATAGAACCAAAAGTGTATTAGTGATCATAGGCAAAAGTGAATTTCTAGCTCCTGAGAAATTTTCAAATCGTAATTGCTATAATATAATATGTAATATGTGACAGGATTAAATATAGTTTATATCATTACTAATATCAAACCATGCACGAATAATCTTATGATAGAAAAGTGATATATATCACCCTATGCAGACAGAGCCTGTGGGAAATATTGGGTGCGGCGCAAATGAGCGGAGGGTGCGGAGCTAACGGTCATTTTTAAATTTAAAATTGGGATATTTCTGAAACTAAGCCGTTTTGGGACTTCAAATATACCAAGATATGTGTATTTGACACCAAATACCAATAAAATTGTGAAAATAGTAGTGCAATTCATTTAATAGCGACGCAGTATGCCTTAAACATTTCCCAGACCTATATATTTTGAGACTATCCTTTTAATACTGCGTCCCCAGCATTCATAAAAAATGGTGTTCAAGATACACTACCCATGCAAATTATTTTTGCATCTTGGAAGCCAGGCAGTATCTGTGTGATTTTATAAAAATTCGGAAATGTTCTTCAGATATGAGCCCCCTCTAAATATTGGGTGCGGAGCTACGTTTATGGAGCTGCTCCGCACCCAATATTTAGAGGGGGCTCATATCTGAAAAACATTCCGAATTTTTATAAAATCACACAGATACTGCCTGGCTTCCAAGATGCAAAAATAATTTGTATAGATAGTGTACCTTGAACACCATTTTTCATGAATGCTGGGGACTCAGTATTAAAAGGATAATTTCAAAAGATATAGGTCTGGGAAAGGTTTAAGGCACACTGCGTCGCTATAGAATGAATTGCGCTACTATTTTCACAATTGTATTGATATTTGGTGTCAAATACACATATCTTGGTATATTTGAAGTCTCAAAACGGCTTAGTTTCAGAAATATCCCAAATTTAAATTCATAAATGACCGTTAGCTCCGCACCCTCCGCTCATTTGCTCCGCACCCAATATTTCCCACAGGCTCTGTCTGCATAGGGTGTATATATACAAAATTTAATTTCCCTCTCCCAAAATCATTATTTTGAAAGAAACATGACTATTTGATACCTTACATTTTAGGCAAGGGTCATTAATAAAGCCCAATATTCAGATCACACTTCCATATAAGGCCCTAACAACCAATTTGTCTGTTTACCAAATTCACTCAAAGAAAGGAAAAAACTCTGAAACAGGCATCAAATTCCTGTTTATCATAACAAATTTACAATAAGAACAATAATTTGAATTCATGTTGAAATGAGAAAAATACAGTCTTTCCTTTAACAATATCACAGACAATTTAATTGTAAGGTCATTGTAAAGTCACTTTATTATCAAGTTGTAAGGGTTCTCCAAGGAAATTCACTGTGATTCATTTTCACAAAAAACAAAACAAAACAAAAACCACTCAACTCAATGTCAATATTGCAATATTGTAATAATATAGCATGGAGTGAATATAGGTTGTAATGTAAAAATAACTCAGTGTTTATGTTAGGATTGTCCACCTTATAATCATAGGCAATGGACAATTGCCAAAAAGTTTCTGGTTGCAGAAAAATGTTTGGGATGTACCATTTGTAGTCAAAGTTTACATCCTATTTAGAGTCATACAAATAGAATGAACATTACTAGAGTTGATCAGTTAATGTGAGTGCACTAGGACCCTGTATAGTAGGTGAACTTGCACTTGGTGCAACTGACTTGTTTCCACCTGGTGGTGTAAATGATGAACTTGCACTTGGTGCAATTTGCATATTTGCACTTGGTGGTGTAAGTGGACCAGTGTACAAGACATTATTTATGTACAACTTGTCACCATTGAGGACAGCTTATGCCCCGGCTCTCCTGGATTCTATCATTATCGGCACTAGCTTCTTCCTACGCTCCCTTATCTCATCAGGATATTGCTGTTGTATAGCATAATCAGAGCCTTTGAGATTTTTCGCATTAAACATCAGCAGATCTTTAGCATGGGGGTTGTTAAAGTGAATCGCAATGGGGCGAGGTTTAACTGGATTTTCACGATTTTGGGGGATGTACTTTCCAATTCTGTGGAAACGGTCAAAGCCAGTGGTTGCTATGGGGATTTCACTATCCTTTAGTTTCATTTGATCGTGAATGAATCCTACAATCTTGTCCCGAAGTTTAATGGGATTACGTTCTCCTCTAGAAGATTCTCCATCTTCTTCAGGGATGTTATATATGATAATATTGTCTCTCATTGAGCGCATCTTCAAATCTAGGATTTGTTGTTGTTGGGAGTGTACAGTGTCATAGAGAGATTTGATATCGACTCGCATTTTTTCCCCCTGTTGCTTGAGGTGACGAATTTCTGTAGATGCTGCCTCCATGGAGGTCTTTAGACATTTAACATCATCGTGTATTACATCTATGGATTTCCTCGTATCAAGAAGAAGGGGATGGATATCTGCCAATGTCACCGGGTCATCGATATCAGATGAAGAATTGCGCTACTAATTCATTTATAAACACAGAACGTTACATATTCGCTACTCAGAACACTAGCCGATATTTTATCTTTATTCCCATTATCAGGTTGAGAATAAATACCTTCGTAAACTTGATTGGGTAGATTCTAGAAGGATCCATGCTGGATATGTCTCCGCTGAGGACACAATCGCCAAAATCGTTTAGAAGTATGGTGCGCCAAGATTCATGACGATTATAAGCATCGGCGTCAAACCTGGTCTCAAAGACTGGTATAGAATCCTTGTCATCGATTTGCTGTATACAGTATCGGTATGGACCGTCCCCTGTTTCATCTGAGGGAAAATATGGTTTGCGTAAACCCACTCGTTATAGCGCCCATGGGCGTTAAACAGAAAAATATTTCAAAAGAACACCCAAATGCACTTAAAATTATAAGGACGCAAATGTTTGAGACCGGAGAAAACTGTATCAATCTACAACCTTATTTCACATCCAAAACTTTAGAGTGTACTTATAAAATATCTTTCTGTTTAACGCCCATGGGCGCTATAACGAGTGGGTTTCATCGCAAACCTCTAGGTGCACAAGAGTATCTAATGGTTATTATCAATCACTTTTTCAGTCGTCCAATGACTAAACGGCATCAATTTTGTTACTGATTACTCTAAAATCTTAAATCTACGGGTTTTTCATTCAATTTCGAAAAACTATGCTTCCTTACCATTGGTTGCGATTTTCCCACTCTCCAATGCGTCGAGTAAGTGTTTTCCATACATAACCCCACGCTGTATTTAAAACATAATACTATTCAAAATACATACTATGGTCCCTCGGGTAGATATATTGTATTTCCCTCAGGATATACCCTGTATCCAAAACCTCCCATTAAATAAATAACGATGTATTTTAAACATATTATTCAAAATACACACTACGGTCCCTCGGGTAGATATATTGTATTTCCCTAAGAATATGCCCTGTATCCAAGATCCCATTGAATAACCAGCTGCATATATTGTCTTGCAACAAGTCTCTGTACTTCAATGTTCTATCCGTTTTATTGAGAATGTTGTCTTCAGGCAAATTCGTCTTAGTTCGTATTGATACCCTGTATACAAATGGGACCCACATACTACGGAGGGCAATACCTGGTCATCTTTCAATGATTTTTACAGCATGTATTGCCCACAGGGCAAGGGCAATATATTCCTGCAAAAGTCATTGAAAGTGCAACGCGTATGTATTGTTCGAACATAGAATGCAATTTTTATTTTATCATTCTCTGCGATTTATTTACTATTTACAATCCCAAAATCCACATTCCATCGATATCATAGTTCAATGGGGGAGCTAAGGTTGCCAAACTTATGGAGGGGAGTGTATGCTGGATACTTTTGATCACGTGGTACTGCATTAACCAATGAAAAACGTAGATTCTATTATTCTAAACGTATCCCTTACCTGAGCTCCCTCTTGGAAGTTACCGTCACTATAAGTACAACGTTCAGTGGCAGTGCAGCTTTCATGACTGACTTTTTCAAGACAACCGCTCGAAACCCATCTTTCCTGCTGGAAAACACTTGGCAAGTAGCATGTTAGTCTTGGGGCACTAGCGAGAACGGTCTGGGCTTATTATAAAAAGCCTCATTTTGAGAAAATCAAATCTGACTGAGGCTACAGAAATTATAGCTGCATGCTGTCTCTTCTCTACTGGCAATTCTTAAAAAGGTTGCTAAGGCAGCCATTTTGAATCACAGATTTTATGTCTGTGAAAAATCATTTCACATCAAAAGTCTCTTTTTACAATTATGCATAACTAGTCACTATATTATGCTTTAGAAATTGATCACTTAGAAGTCCTTACGCGATTTGATATGCTCAAAATTAAAAGTAATGCTGTAACATTTTTCTATTTTAAAAATGTGATGTTTTCAACTACAATGTGCATTTTTGAGCTATGATATCTTCAAAAAGGTTAATGTCAAAGTCGTTTTCCGTGATCCTGTTATGCTAAGAGGGTAAAATGGCAGTCACGCTTGCAGTGTAGGCTCACGGTTCGCAATCGGGTGGCTTATTTTGGGCATCATTTTTTCAATTTTTTAATTCTATGCGTAATGGCCGATGGGGTATATCCATCTTTAAAAATATTTGTTTGCCCACCGTGTATGCATGCTGTGCCCTAAAGTATTCACACGGTGGCAAACGGCGACCCTACCCCGGGGACCCTACATGGGCTAAGTGTGACAATGCAAAGCAATACCTCATCCAGGTCGTCGCCAAAGTCAATGCGAATAAAGTGAACGCCACTATTTGGATGCATGACCTCTGTCACAGTATTATCATCTGCCATAGAGTTGGAATATCGACTCACAAAACTCCAGAGTTTCAGAATGTTCCCATTGCCCCAGGTCCACGCTTCTGGGCAAAATGATGGTTTGCTCCTGACCTTTACTCCACTGGACCGAACATAGTAACACCCTATCGAAATATGATACAGTGAATACGAGGCCGTTGTAAGAGAAAGTACCGCCCCCTGCTCCGACCGCCTGTTTGCCCATGGTCGTGTTGGCCATTGAAACTAAAACTACTCTTAATACGGAAAAGTTGTTACACGTCGCACGAAACTGGGGACAATTAGAGTAACATTATGGCGTCAAAACCATAACAATACAATGGCCAGTATAGGGCGCAATCAGCATTATAACGTCAAAAACGACAAGCGTTACATTTTGTCAAGTTTAGTCAACCTAAAAATAAGACACTTTATTCTTATTCAATCCTGGTGAAATTCACAGAGCAAGAAGATCTCGAGGACAATATTTCTCAAATGTTTTTGATTTTTGAAAAACGGTCAGGAAATCCACTCGGGGCGTTAGTAAAAATTGATATGTATGGGATTTGTGGTATAAAATCGATGCGTTACATTTTTTCAAGTCTCTGAAAGCAACTCTTATTCTCTTATTATTTGAAAAATAAAGAAATCGGTTATTGTTTTGTAAATTTCGCCATGACAATATTGTGCAGTTAAATTTTTTTTGAAATCAGACCTAAATTAGTAGGTTAAATAAAGGTAAACTTATTGCTTGTCTCCCTCGCCTTCAAAACCTTACACAATTTTGAAAATCTTAAAAGCGTTCATATAAGACGATTTGAACTGTAGCCGCTAGGCAATTGCGACGTCATAAAAGCACATGTTTCAATGAATAAAATGTGAAATTTTAGTAAAATTCTGATCAGTATTTCAAAAGTTATCCTGATTTCAACGAACCGTGTAAGCGTGAAATGTTACGCCTTACAGCGTATTTGACGATGTCGGAGTACATTTAACTTAAAAAATATGGTAGACCCAATCACACTTTTCAAGGAAAAATAATTTCAGTGAAATGCGAATAAAAAATACTTCAAAATGATATATAATGCATATAGTTAGCTTTTTAAATAAGGCAGATATTAACGCTTAAAGCTGAGATTAGCCCGTATTTCCCGAATTGTCCCCAGGTCCGTGCACGTCATATGTACTATTTATAGATTAGAGATAGGGTGTATTTTATGAGAGGGAACGGGTCAACAAACCTTGTTTCTGTGGTTGACATCGATGATGAGTTTGTGCACACTTCTTCCTTGGATCTAGAAGAGTGACATGGTGATGTAGAGATGTAATAGACTAGATGCGAGTAGAAATGATCTTGATATAGGTCATTAAATATTCAAAATTCAGTCAAAGTAATGTCATATTTGAAATGCACATGTAAAAGTACATCTAGAAATATGGTTTCGAAAATTGTTTATCAACTTTGAAAATTTAGTTTTTTTTGAAAATGTGACTTCTAGTTTGGGTTGATCCCCCATAGACCCCATGTTACAAAATCACAAAATACCTTTTCTTGTATTGGACTGATGTTAACAAATTCTTTTACTGGACATATTTTAATTTGCATAACTATACATAAAGGTTTTTGAAAATTGAACCACTAAAACAGATGTAATTTAAGTTAAAGGGAACTTTCTACTATTACCCGCCATGATATCTGACCCGAACGACCACCTGGTGGTAAAACTAGTAACTACCTTCTCGCATCTGCGTTATTAATTAGTCATATTTGCTACAAGGCGACCGTACGGCGGCCGTAGCTTCAAAAGATCGATATAGTAAATCTACATCGCACTGCCTGTTGAGATCAGATGTGACTGGGGCATAAGCAAGCGAACAATTGCAAAGACTAGCCGCGTGACACAGTTCCATGTAAAGATACGTGATAATACCGTGCGAGACAGTGGAGAGGTTAAGCTACCGTATAAAATCCAAAACGCAACTTAAACGTATCAATCGGTCCTATACAAATACATGTAGAGTTCACACATAAATAGCCGTTCAGCTCTAGTGTTTGTTTAGACTACACCATAGCTTGTAATGATTACATAGTATCCCATTGATGAAGTTCAATAGCTGGTTCTCTAATACATATTTTAAACGAGCTCGTTTCGTAAGATTATTGGAGTTAAATCATGCGTAACATACATCATCCTCTTCAGAAAGAATTATACTCTGCATCGAAACCAAAATTGCAAGGATAGTATTCAACAGACATGAGTATAATGATTCCCGTTGATAGCAACGTGAAATTTCTAAATCTCCCGTTCTAAACACGCAACTTTGAAGTTGAACGGGTATCTGAAGTAGACTAAGGCGATACAATCCTATGTTGATTCAATGTACTTTGCGTTTACGTATACGTTTTGAAAAACCGTATTTGCTTAACCTCTCCATTAATAACTTATGCAGACGTACTTTTTTCAAAGTTCTAAACAAGTTTTACAATTCAAGTGTTACCTTACCGGATGTTCCTTGGGCTAAAGGGTAACTATGCTCGTCCATGTCAATGATTTCGAATCTTAAGTCTTCGGAGAGTGTTTCTACCATTGGTTGCCGCGGTTCGTATATTCCCCTTGAAGTGACATGTACATGTATTTCTCCGACACCATTTGGTTCTTGCATTTGGAAGGAACCTGAAAGAAAATAATTTTCAGCCCGGCACAAACAAATCGTTTATTTTATAAAGTTTTAAAATCTTTTATAAATCCTAATTAACTCTTTGTGGCATATAATCGGGATGTTTTAATACTATGTTACGGTCGGATGACTTACCTCTAGTAGGGACACTGTATTCATCAGGGATTATTCTGTCAACATTTGGATGTCCAAACCCACCATTTGGAATACCATCAATCAGCCACTCAGTATTTATGTCAACATGCTCATTGTTGGGTTTACCATCATGATTATTGTTGGATGCACCGTCATTTGTATTGTCGGGTGAACCGTCATTTGATTTGTGGGGTGTGCCATCATTTGTGTTGTAGGGTGAACCGTCATTTGTGTTGTCGGGTGAACCGTCATTTGTGTTGTCGAGTGCACCGTCATTTGTGTTGTCGGGTGAACCGTCATTTGTGTTGTCGGGTGAACCGTCATTTGTGTTGTCGAGTGCACCGTCATTTGTGTTGTCAGGCGAGCCGTCATTTGTATCGTCAGGTGAACCGTCATTTGTGTTGTCGGGTGAACCGTCATTTGTGTTGTCGGGTGAAGCGTCATTTGTGTTGTCGGGTGAACCGTCATTTGTGTTGTCGGGTGAACCGTCATTTGTGTCGTCGAGTGAATCGCCCTTAGTGTTTTCGGGTGTACCGTCATTTGTATTGTCAGGTGAACCGTCATTTATATCGTTGTGTGTACCTTCATTTGTATTGTATTTGTCAAGTTTATCCTCAGACTGTGTGTGGATCTCTAAAATATAATTGTTTTCAATGGAGTTCAAAAGTGGTTAAAAATCAAAAGACTGTTGCACACCGTTTAAATCGCTTAAAAATCAAGCAAATGATGTTTGAGATAATAGAATTTGAAATAATACTTACGACAGAGTGGTGGCTTGTAAGGTAGATACTTCTTTACAAAAAGCTAGCTATTCTATACGTTACCTTGATTTAATGTGAATACTTAAGGCCGTTTACTATCGTACTTCTAATACATTCTTCAGTCATCCCAAAATGATTGATCTAGAGCGACATAAGTAAAGCAATGAGCACAGACGACTGATTAACAAAAACAAAACAAAACGAAGCTCAGCGAAACATTTCACGAGACGTACGAGACAAAAATAAATCCAATCACCAAAGCACAATATTAGGGAGTTTAAGCATGCATATAAAATCGAAACGCCAACCTATACGCCCATACAAATACATCGCTTAAATATTTTCCGTTCACGTTTAGGTTGTGAAAAACATTGAAAGCTTAAACTCCCAAATATACTGACATATACTCAAAAGCGATGAAATAATTGTGTATTGATATAAATGCAGCTTTTGTATATTGATCTCAATAAACAAGAACAATAAGATTTCAGAATTGTCGAATATCCTCTATTTGCTATCCTTATTCAATTTGCTAGTACGCTATTTTCTGTAATCGTGAAACCAAATATTCTTATATTCAAGTGCGACTTGTTCCATGAGAATACCGTCGAAAAGGACTCTCGTTCACAAAGGCATTCTAATGAATAAAGCCTTTTGAAGAAGGATCATCAATATATTGTTTTAAAATGCATATTAATGATGAAAGTAAAACAATGAATATATTAAAACACTACTTTTGAAGATATGATAATGAATTATGCAGAAATTGATTACTTGAAATTGAAATGATATTCACTGTCGATATACAAATAGTCACTGTCATTAAAATCTGTCTTTAACAGCGTTAACCATCAAATTTCATTGAAGCCTTAATTTGCATGTGTCCGGATCAGACATTTGTATGAAGACTAAATTTGTTTATCGATTGCCCGACCCGGAGATTACGGATGTACATGAATATAACCCTTTGCGTTCATTTGATCCAAGAGGTAACATTCGCGAATTCAACTGACGACTGAGCCTCCCCCCTAGGGTGGGCCCAGAAAAAAATTGGGCCCGAAAAAAGGCCGTAAGGCCCAAAAAGTGGGCCTTTTGGTCATTATTAGGCCTTTTAAGGCCTTATTTTTTAAACTTCAGGTCAAGAATGGACCTCAAAATTTCATTTGGGCCCACTTTTGGGTTTTAGGGACCCAAAATTCTTTTCGTGCTTGTTTTTCCCTGACCTGAAATTTGCCCCCCGCCTTGTTGGTTCCTAGATCCGCCCCTGTAACCTTTAAACCCTTTATGACCAACTCATTTCAATATCAGACTGTCAGACTATCATGTTGACAATCGGCACCGGCGTTGGCGATCACTTGATGATCTGGGGCTTATAAACAAGTATCATTCAAATAAGTATATCCCCAGGGGCGGATCCAGGATTTTGTGTTAGGGGGGGGGGGGCGTGTGATAATAACTGTGAGCGAATTGAAAAAAGAGTCAAATTATGTAAAAAGCGATGAGGCAGTGCGAACTAAAAATGTTCAATTCACCACCGGGTGGCAATACTGCAATAAACTGAGATGGCGTTACTATGAAGACAATCAAGTGTGTTTAAATTGCTTCGCTCCCGGGCAGTTGCAGTAACATAGTCTTTGTTTTCGTGCAGTGTAAGTTGGGAGGTGCGCCCTCTTTCGTACTCTACGCCATCTTGGATTGAAAAAAATCAAATATTTAAATTATTTCGTATTTTCTATTTTCTTAAACATTGACACAATGAAGAGTATCAGGGTGAGTGTTGTTAGAACAGGATGTATCAAAATAAATATTTTTTCTTGTTATAAAATTGATTGATGGGTAGAATATTGAAATATATGAGTATGAACCTTTACTGAAATCTTGCACGTTCAGAAAATAAAAATCTGATTTGACCTTGAGATTTTAGCTGAATTTAGCCGTTGTAATGCAGATCAAATACAGTTATCTGTTGCTTGATTAATGGGGGGCCATTAATGAAATTTAATAACGGAAGCACTCTTTGATGTTTACATGATGAACTCCAGTTTGCATGGTTCAAAATATACCAGGTTACATGAAGGCTACACCTTACCTTATTCCTACGCTTATCATAAACTGAAGCCCTGTTTGTTTTATTGCTTTTTACTCTCATGGACTGTATTTTACTAGGTCTACTTAATCTAGTACCATGATCATCTCTTCGTTCTGGTCTTGCGCACACAATAGGGGACTACAATAGGGACTACATAGTATAAAAACAATTATTATGGCGCCTAAGCTACGCATTCATTTATTTCACCACAAGTAATGCTCTTTAAAAGGCAAAAGTTTGCTCAATAAATATGGAATCAAGATTTAAATATTGAAGTACACTCTACTGGCTGCAGTTTGAGACAGCTGCGTCTTTTGTAGGTGCGCAAGACCAAAACGAAGAGATGGTCTTGGTACCAGATAAAGGTAGATGTACCCAAAAACGTGGGGTTGATTTTTCAAATCACACCCACAACTACTTGTGTATGGAAATCTTGGGGTTGAAAAATGTTGTCAGTAGTTGACACAAAGCTGAATTTGATCTAAATAACCACAAATCTAGCTTATTTTCAGCTGCAAGATTTCAATACACAAGTACTTGTGGGGGTTCATCTCCACATTTTTGGCCAATTTTAGTGGTTATCAACACAGCTGACTTTCAGAATCAGCTGACACATTGTTTCTTTTGCTAAAGGCACTGAAAGGTAAATCTTATCAATCACTGGAAACAATTTAGCGTGTGACTAGAAACCCTGAAGAATGATACACTACTTTTTACATCACTTGACAAACATATTTTGAACATTTTGTTAATTTTCAGGCATTGACAACTCTCAGTCGAAGAGCCATGTCCACACAGCCTTTAGGGCAAATACCAAACAATGCTAAATACAAGAAACTCCAGGAATTACAGAAACATTTCTGTGTAAGTATGCCAAAGTTCATTGTACTTTCACTGACATATAAAGTTTAAAACATGAATAATTTGATAGCTCTGACAATATCACTGCATTGTATTATGACTGGTATTTTGAGTCAGCATTCACATCAGTTTATAACCATTTGTAATTTCTTAAAAATTAATGATCTTTTTTCATGTCAATTATATCTAATAAAAATGTGTAGAGCGGATAGCATCCTCCGAAGCAGGTGTCCAGAATCCGTACCTCCTTCTTTCCCCCTGCTATAACCAATATTGAAGGCCTGTAATTGGAGGATGAGCGTATAGTGTCACTGTATATTTTGCTAATTAAGGAACATTTTCAAACAATTTTCAGCTTGAATTTAAATAAACTCAGTAAATGTTTCAATTTACACTATAAATCATGTATTTTCAGAGGGATGATGGCAAACTAGTGTGGCAAAAGATGGGAACACGTGACACAATGCTGTTCCAAGGCACCATGGCTCTTACCATATTTGGTGTTGGTTTGAGCCTGTACAAAATATTTATCATGTCGTTCCCCCAGAAGTCAGATTAAGGATTGCTTCAACCACACTTAGGAAATATTAACTGTAAATTGTTGTATAATATATAGGATTTGATAGCATACTACTTTCACCTATTATGGATTTTACCTAATAAGGAATTATTGCAGTGTCCCTTTGATATTGATGTTATCATAACTAGAACAGGAGCGAACGTTTCCAACATCCTCATAATCGACATCAATGTCACAATATTTTATTTTTACATGCGCTACTTTACTATTTTTGGGAGTTGAATACTTTCAATGCATCATGTAACTTTAATTGAAACTTGAATACCTTATAAATGAGTAGTCTGACAATTTTTTGTGTAGGGCACATTTCTTAAGATTCTAGAAATGTGAAGATTGTTTGCCAAATCATGGGTGAAAAATAAAGCGTAAAATATTATGTTAGGCCTATTGTTACGTTTATTATTATGAAATGGTGTCAGTTGACTAGTTTTAGGATTTTTGTCTTACTTACTGTATAGAAGAATTATCTTGAGAAAGTCGGAGTAACACAGTAAATGGAGATGATCAAAGAACAATACATGGGCATAGCCAGGGGAGGGGGGGGGTTGCCTTACACCCTTACCCCCCTTTTTTGGGCTTGCTTCACTCGCAGTGATGCAAAAATGTGCACCCTTTGACAATGGCTTGCTGTGCCACTGCAATGTTATATTCTTAATCATAGAAATGCCAAAATAGTTCAAACAACTTTTCCAGAAAAAGTGGAAAAGGCTTAAGATAAAGGATCCGTTACCTAATGTACCTGAAGGTGCCCCCAAAGGTTTCATTGAGAATAGTATGGAAATAGTTACTTTTATCAATTTGGATTAAAACTAAGGTCATTCAGTGCATTTAAGTTTGACTACACAAATCATTCTAAATATCATTTTAGGGGTATTTTAGTCTTCATTCATGATCATTTTAAGTATGTTGCCCATTCCTCAATCGATATATTAGATTATCGTTAAGATAGAACACAAAGGGCAACATACTGAAAACACATATCATAAAAAAACTAAAAACGTAATATATCTTTTGAAAAAATGAACCTTAATAAATGTGTTCTCAACAATAGTAGCATGATCACCTCAGTTGGTAAACAGTAGGCATTCAACCTAAAGGGTATATATTAAAATATCATTAAGGTGGGACACAAAGGGCAGCATACTGAAAGCACAAATCATAAAATAACCCCTAAAATAATATATCATATGATAAAATGAACCTTGTTAAATGTGTTCTAAATAATAGTACCATGATCACCATTATTGTGTAGACTGAAGCTTTAACCTAGGTATTCAACCTAGATACTATGTCAAAACATCATTAAATGTAGAACACAAAGATAGGTAGAACACCAGGAGCAACAGCTGAAAATACAAAACCTAAATTCAAGCTAAATCTAGTTGCGACTTTCCATTGCAATACATTTTCATTTGGCATTGTCAAAGAAATTAAAACAATGATAGATGACATAATGGTCATATGAACACTTAACAAGTAATATTCATTCAAACAAATGACTAGCCGAAACATATTTTTTCGATTATCAAGCTCATTGCTTACATATCACATGTTCTAATAGCATACCCCTTGAACAGATTTTTGAAAAAAACATATTTTAAGTTACCTGTGATTTAATTGCTTTATTGCAAATGACACATGTTTCTTTAATCTTGTTATCATTGAAAACTGAATATATGTCTGTTTAGAGGTTTGAACATGGTGCTCAGAATTATCTATGGGAACCCGGGTTGGATGTCTCTGTGGCGTGATATGTTGACACAATCGTTACTGTAAATGACAGAGTTTGTTGAAAGGTTCAGTCCAGAATGTCTTTCCAAATAAGATTCTCTATTTTTGGAGAAGGTTCTATGTTGCACCTACCTTAAGCAATACATTCAAGGCAGAATGGATTCTTGACTATAATGGCAATTTCAATATGGCCTCCTTTTTTAAACTAACATTTTTGCTATACTTTCATATTGTGTATCTTCCACACTTAGGACCCTCTCTTATTTCATGTTTGAATTATAAAATAGTGTCAATACTAAACAATAAAGGTTAATTCAGAGGGGGTCTGGTTTGTGGAAGTACCTCAATCTGTCAATGAATGGAGAAGGTCATTCACTATTTACAACAAAAACACAATAGGGTGTCTTTCAATGCAATAGGATTACTAACTATTTATGCATGAATGGCACATGAAATGAAGCTTAGTAGATTAGGACACATTCACACTACCCTACCTCGATAGCGCATGCGCGGATTTTTTGGCTTTCAACCACGTCGCTTTTGAGTATTTCGACTGCTTAGTCAAAAGGTTAATACGTTTGGTGCTCGGAGTGAGTCAATATTGCTATTCGCTGAACTTCAGTGGTGCAATAGTGAAGTCCATGTTCCAAGTTATATGATAGTTGAATAAAGAATGTAAATAATATCGTTTTAAATTTTAAAATATTTGATATGTCATAGTACACGGTACACAGTTGCAAAAGTTGATCAAAACAGGGTACAAGGAATGTAAATTGCTCAATAGTACAGGGAGCGAGAAAGTAAGCTGATTAAACAGACATACTATGTCCCGATCTCATGTACATTTACGTTGCAAACAGTGAAAATAATGCTAAAAAGGCCGCCTGTTGATGCTTTGAGGTGTCATCAATTGTTATTTAATCCAAATAAAGTAAACATTATTTTGTAGATTTACATAACCCCTTGAATGGTCTTATTCACCACCGTTCTCAAAAACCGATCATTTAAAATATTTTGTTCAAAATACCATCATTCCACGACTTGAGAGCATTTTGTTCTTCACAATTTGCTGTAGCGCTGATATGACATCGTATTTCTCTATTATTGTAAAAAAACTAATACCAGATCGATGTAATCTTAGATGACGTGTTGAATGTCAGATGTTTTTGGATGGTATCTGCTCCAGCGATTTTGCATTTAATCATGAAACGCTCATCACAAGACACCTCGAAACAAACATTATCCTCTTTGTGACAAGAGGAAAAATGTTTCACAATATGTTATGCCTCACGGCAAAGTAAAGATACATTTCTGGGACGACGTTTTTTTCATCTTAAGATTTTAGAAAAACAATTCGAACATGACTGTATTCACGCCTTCTATAAACTGTAAACAAAGTCAATGCTTCAGTGCTATGCTAGTAATGGCGGACCATGATGTATTTTTTGAAACAATTTGGTGAGTTTTCATGTTCGAATCGTAATATAGACCTCATAGCAGGGCTAATATCGTCGAATACACCCCTTGGGGCTAGGCACAAACGCTTTCAAATCGAACCCCTCACTCCCTTCGGTCGTTCGGGGTACAGAAAAGTTTGTGCCTAGCCCTGCGGGGTGTATTCGACGATACAACCCCTGCTTTTCGGTCTATATTTCTTAATTAATTCACAAAAATACAGTTGAATAACATACCGGAAAACGTATCCACATATAACACGAGTCGATGACACGCAGTTTAAATAACAGTTAACTGTTTTTTTTGTTACATATCAATGTAACATTTTCGAAGGGAAACTTACATGCTCCCTGTACGTTGATAGATTTACTGAAATGTATCGTGTATTGCATTGAGTTTTGCTTCACTGCGCCCACTATTATCTATCTTTGCCTATAGTGGTTTTTTGCCAACAATATTTTACAAACTGCTCGATTAATCAATTCTATGTCTGGTAGAATACTAGAAATAAATGTAAAATGCATTTTACGTTCAGAAATATGGAATTAAACCCACGTCCTCCATTTGCAACTTAGCTGTACCCTGTTTCCCTTTTAAACGTGGTCACGTGGTAGGGTAGTGTGACATTGTAGTTCTTTTATTGACAAGTGAAATTAATTCTATCTACAAAACTCAAGATTTTAATCAAGGTTCTGTGAAAATATGTCAAAATTACTCATTTGAAGAGTCAACATGACATGTGTTAAGAATCACTGTTAAAAACACCTTTTTACCATATTTTCCACACTATTTTTGTGATTTTTTGAAAATATACTTAATAAAGATTCAAATTGCATAAAAATAATTCTGGAATTCCATTTTACCCTTTTCAATAATTTTCTAAGTTCTTATGGGTACACTAATAGGTACGGATCCTTTGGGCCACAGGAAATGGATTGGTTTTGCAAATAGAACAATTAACAAAAATCCTACATGAACAAGTTTAATCATTTATTTATGAAATAAGATTACAAACAATTTGATAACAATGGCTAAACTGCTAAATGGCTAGGTTTATGCTGAAGATCATCAGACCCATTTGGATTAAACTGATATGTACATTTCCAAATTCTACATTATCAATACAATGCAGTACCAAAAAGGTATTAATACAATATGGTACCAAATAAAACATATGTAGTACCAACAAGGTATCAAATACAACATATTGTATCAAATACAACAGTGCATCCACTGCAACATTGTATCAAATACAAATTTTTATCAAAAGCAGTGATCTCCCCAGGATTTCTTCTCAGGTGGGTGCAAAATTCTCATTTTCAAAATTCAGACCGAAATTGGTCAAATATGCCAATTTTTCATGATTTTTCTCATTTTCAAATGGGTGCAAATAGATTTTCAAGTGGGTGCGAGCCCGTTTTCCAAATCTCAGGTGGGTGATGCGCCCACTTGCTATAATGCTGTGGAGATCACTGAAAAGCATGATATCAAATATAATGCATTCTCAAAAACATATACTAAATAAAAAAAAGAAGATTAAAATGGTTATTTTGACATTAATACATTATAATGAAAACTATACATTTATTTATGGAAATACTGCAGAAATTCAACTCTAAACAGCCAAGTAATAACTTTTCTTTAAGGCTATAATAACATTGAACTTTTGATATGATCAAATCCTTTCTATAATGTGATGACTCAAATCAGTAAATCTTGTGTGATGTGAAGTTGACAGAAAGGTGGCTGTTTGGGAGATGTTTTATCTCCTAATGACAACCCTTCTGTCAGTCCACTGATAATACAAAAATCATAAATAAATTGGACATGTAAATGAAATGAGGACAAAATAACAAAAATTATACCATCCTAAATTATTTATTGGCTTCTGTGTCTAATGGATACTACTTGAACATGGTTTAGCTAACAAGCATGTTACAATTTGAGCATTATTTACAAATAGGAATGTTTTAATTCAGTTCATGAAAGTGTTCTTTCAACTGGGTGTAAATATACTTTCAACTGGCTGAAAAAACATTTTCAAATTGGGGAACTCCAATTTCAATTGGGTGCAAATATGTTTTAATAGATCTCTCAGATAAATCCTGCCACCTTTTGATACACCAGAGAAACTTTGATATAAAAATTGGCTAGCTTGATGGGTTGTATTTTTAAAATTAACAATGAGTT